GCCCACAGCCGGCCACCGGGCGGCCCCAGCAGTCAGGGAGACACGCCCCGGGGCAAGGGACTCCGAGGGCGCCACAGGGTGGGCCTGACACCCCTCCCTCCTCAAACCACTGACTCCGTGCAGCGGCCACGGGCGCCTTGCGGCTCCTGCACGCGGCTGTTTCTGCCGTGAGCCTCATCCCCAGGTCCACCCGTCAGGGCCCAGAGCCCTCCCGCGGGGGCCTTTCCAAGCCCAGGCAGGTCCCCAACAGAGGCAGCAGCAAGTCCGAGGCCAGAGCGCCCGCTGCCGGCCGCTCCGCCACCTTCTCTGCTGTCAATCAGGGCGGGCGGAGGCCTTGAAGGTCAGAGCCGCCCTCCTGCACCCCCACGGGGCCAGGCCTGCGAGGTGGCCTTCGCGGAGGGAGGCGTGAGGCCATCGCCCCACCAGCAGGCAGGCTGACCAGGACAGCTGGGGAACAGGACACGAGCACCGGGGCTCCCGCCACTGGCTGACCCGGTGAAACCTCAGAACCAACCAATGTGAGCGACACCCACGAACCATCACCTGTGAGCCCCTGAGTGGAGCCTGGAGGTCGCGGCCCTGCTGTCCCACCTGCCACCTGCCCCTGCACACAGGGCTGCCCGCCCACTCCAGCACCAACAGGGCGAAGCAGCTGGCAGACCAGCCAGCCCAGGACGGGCACCCGCATTCTCACGGTGCCACGGTGTCCGCAGGGGCACCTCCCCGGGGCTGGAGGGCTGGGGGGCTGGGCCCGTGGTGGACCCGAGGGACACGTACCTGGGAGCTGGGCCGCCTCCGCGTTCACCGCACCCTCAGCCTCCGCAAGCCGACCGCCCGGGGCTTCCTTCGCCAGGTCCACATCCACAGGGGCCTCCTCGCTTGCGGACAAGGTGGTGAGAGTGCTGACCACCAGGATGCCCAGGCCGACCCAGAGCACCACCTGGAGGAGAAGAGGCCTGGAGCGAGAGCAGTTGGAACAGGGGCGCCCGGGGGGCAGGAGAGAGGGGCCTGCACGCAGACGCCCGCTGGCCACCGGGACCTTAGTCTGCGAGGGCGAAGCTGTTCCTCACTGCGCTGAGGCTGGGAACCAGGCAGGACCCAGGCAGTCACCCCCACGGGTGTCAGGCAGTCACGCAGCCCCGCCCACGGTGGAGCCCCGCCCACGGTGGAGCCCTGCCCACTCCAGCAGGGGCCAGATCAGAGCCAGAAGCTGGCGTCAGGCTCAACAGGCAAACACTAGCCCAGGGGTGGGCAAACTTTTTGACTCGAGGGCCACAATGGGTTCAGAATAGTATGAATTGACTGTGTATCTAGATGTAGCTATAGATAATAGATACAGATCTAGATAAATCCTAGCTCTGGCACGGGCCGTAGTTTGCCCACGGCTGCACTAGACACTGTCCCTCCACGTCAGGAGGAAGAGGCTCGCCCCACGGAGCCAGGGCCAGGGCTGGACCCGAGAGGAATTGACACTGGAAAGGCCGAGCCTCCCGGCCTACAAACCACCGCCAGGCCAGGCCCGGCCCGGAGTCACAGCGGCCGTGGGCACTCGGACCGGAGCCTGCGAGGCGGAGGCACCGTTCCTGCCGGGGCGTCCCGAGGCCACGCCGGGTCGGGGAGCGTTTACAGACATTGACTCCAACTCCATCCCCAACGGCACCAAAGCACCAGCAGCGCCTCCTGTCCACGTGGGAGAGACCCCCGCCCCGCGTTCTTAGGGCCCCGTCCACACACCACCAGGCCCGGGAGGCAGCCCGAGGATGGGAAGCCACGAAACCGCAAGGATCGCGAGTAAATATTGACGACCTGGAACCATCACGTCTGGAGGAGCTTACAGTCCGTGTAAAACTAAAACACACGACAGCAGCACCCGAGGCCAGAGGCAGGAACATGGAGTCAAGACGGCCCGGGGCCCCGGCCTCGCCGGGAAGAGCAAACAACTCACCTGCCATCAACTCTAATGGGCCGAGGCTTCCCATCAAACAGCCTCGCAGACGGGAGGGCGGCGTGGACACACACCAGCCAGCAGGCGAGTAAGGGAGACACTGGGGCCCTGGCCAGTGTGGCTCAGGGGGTAGAGCATCAGCCCGTGGACTGAAGGGTCCCGGGTTCAACTCCGGTCAAGGGCACGGACCTTGGTTACAGGCTCATCCCCGGCCCCAGGTTGGGGTACATGTGGGAGGCAACCAATCGATGTGTCTCTCTCACATCGATGTTTCTCTCCCTCTGTCTCTCCCCCTTCCTTCCACTCGCTCTAAAAAAATCAATGGAAAAATATCCTCAGGTGAGGATTAAAAAAACACAAATACTTAAAATGCTTGATTTATCCAGAAGACAGCAAAGAGAAAAAAACAAGTCAGAACAGATGGGACAAATGACAAAGAGTAAGACGGAAGCTTTGATGCCCCCAAATCAGCAGTGACGTCTGCTGTGAGCCGCCGAAACCCGCCACTAACAGACCGGACAAAACACAGCAGACAAAGCCAGCCGTCCGCTGTCCTAAGAGGCGCACGTGACAGGGAGAGCCAGGCGGAGAGCCAGACGGAGAAAGGCACGCTGTGCCAGGAAGACCAGGCCAAGCGGGGCCGCTACACGGTGCGGGCAAGGCCCTGCCCCCAAGAGAAGCGCTTCCACAGAAAGGCGCCCCGAGCAAAAGGGTCCCTTTAACAAGACGTCACCACCTTCCCGTCCGGCCCTCAACACACAGCGGCAGACAAGCGGCAGGGCTGGGGGAAGCCGCTCCCCCCGGAGGATACACAAGGGGGAAAGTCAGCACAGACAGGGCAGCCCGACCGGACCCGCGTGCAGCAGTGCAGACGCTCAGCCAGGAGCACCCCGGGACCCACTGGCCAGAGTCGCTGCCGACGACCAAGGGCTGAGCCTTGGGGTGTCCCCCCACCTGCCACACTGGGGGTGGCCCCCACCCTGGCACCCAGGCCACGGAGCCCCTCCTGCCCGCCCGCCCGCGGCGGCTCAGGGCGCTGACCTGGGAGAAGAGCGAGTTCCTGTGCACCTTCCTGTAGATGAGCGCCGGGCAGATGAAGCAAATGAGGCTGCCCATGGTGGCGCCCGTGAGGCCCAGGATCGTCTCCACTGGGGACAGAGGGACAGGACGGGGCGGGGTGAGGCCGGGCTCCTGGAGGGACGGAACGGGAGCTTCCAGCCCGCACGGCGCCCCGACAGCCTGGCACGGGGGCCTCGCCAGGCCTCGCCCTTGGTGCCCACAGGCCACTCGGGCACGCGGGCATGTGGCTGCTCTGCCCACCGTCACGTCTCAGGGGAGCTCCCTGCTCTGCACCCTGTTTCCTCCCTAACACACTCCGTCCCTCGGGTTCTGGTGACACTCGCTTGCCCGTCCGCAGGGGGCGGGCGCCTGATGCAGAGGCCCCGCTCAGGGCCTCCTTCCCCTGGGGAGGCACCATCTGAATGGGGGCGACAGGGAGGAGCTGCTTTCGAGACACAAGTGGGGGACCCCGACACGGGGCAGAAAACCCTGAGACGTGGGGGCCAATGAGTGCCTGTGGGTAACGGCAGGATGAGGACAGGACAGGATCTGAGGGGGGGGGAAGGGGCAGAGTGGCCCCCCACTTACCGTTGGGGATCATGATCCCACCAACCATGGTCCCAAACACGACAGAGAGGGTGAGCGCTTTGAACCGTAGGGGCGGCATGTAGCCTCCGGCGGCGAAGGTCCCGTCTTTTTGCTGCGAGGGAGGAAACACAGGAAAAGGTTTGGAGGTGCGGTTTTCCCACCGCCACCCTGGGGGCGAGCACTCAGGGCCGGCACGGAGGCCCCACCCCCACCCCCACCGCTGGGGCCGAGCAGCTGTGACGTG